GAAGGCGTCCGATGGCGACCATCTTGGCTGCGCGCCCGGCCGGGGCATCGCTGGGGCCGTGCGCAAATCGGCAACTGTTGCCGCGTTTGCTGTAATTTTGCGTCTGCGTGGAAGCTGCATTTGGCAGTGCGTGGGTATATTTGCATCGATCTCGTCGCGGGCAGGCGCCGTGTTTCGCGAAGGCGAAACAGAAAGTTCATTTGCCGCTCTTGGGCGGTAGCTTGGAGCCTCGCCCCGTGGAAGGTCGTCGTTCGCGGGCGTCTCCGCCTGCAATCGATGCTCTACGCGGAGGTCGCGACGTGGAGCTGTTGCCAAATGCTGCGCGCAGCAGCTCGCACCGCCCTCCGTTCTTTCAATGTCCTGACTTGAATGCAACGCAGACGGCTGACTCGCAACGAGTCGTTTCGTTCTTGAAGTTGCGCCGGTTGCGCCCGAGTCGATGTAACTCGACGTTGGCCAGGGCGCGTTCTCAACCAAACGCGCGTGCGATTGGGGTCATTTGATTCCATCTTGTTGCAAACGCGCATGTCCTGCTTCGCCCGCGGACGTCTGCAGATCTGAGCTCGGAACATGACGAGCACCTCTGTCGGGTGGTTCGCGACATCCCAAGAGCAAAGTGTTCAAGTCCGCGATGAATCGTTGGAGATCGTCATCCCGCGCGCGAGTAAATTGCGCGCGTCCCAAGTCGCGCGTCGCGTCGTCGACGTCAGTGACCTTGCGCGATTCCAGTATAGCCCAAAAAGATCTGTCTACCTTTCCGCACGCGGCCAGCCCCATTCTCCTGAGCTGTGAGGTTTTTCAAGATATAACGGAGCTTAGCGTTGAGAACTGCTGGAAATCCAGCAGCAAACTTGCAATCGATGCTTTCGAAATGGCCACTCCGTTGTAAGTCCTCAAACGTAGTGTCGGGCTGTTCGGCAACGCGAAGGCATGCGAGCGCCATGGCAGGGCGTCCGGAGGCGCTGCCAACATTTTCCCTGACCATATGCTGCCACCCCTGCAACTGGGCAGCGCGTTCAGTTGAGGAATACGGACACTGCTTGATTCCTTAATCTGGGTGGTACCACCGAGAGAGAGCTGCGAGAGGTTCTGCGATGGAATCGGTGGCGTTGGCGATGGTTCACGCGCAGGCGAGACGCGACGTGTCTGAGCCGGAGCCGATGCCGCTGCAGAGGCGGCAACTGGCGACTGAAGTTGCGGTCGTCCAGCAAGGGCGCGTCCATCGGCAAAGGTTGGGGCACAATCGGTGGTGGGTTGCGGAGGCAGGATCGAGATGTGGATCTGAGCGTCGCTCGCGCGGGCCTGCGCGGTGGCCTCAGTTGTTGCGATGTCGGTCTGCGTCTTCTCGGCGCTCTGTCGTAAACCGCGAATCTCGCCTCTGGTGTCGCATGTTCGCTGGGGGCGCAAGTCCGGCCGATGATCTGTCCTGGATTCGTAGGTCGCGCGCTTCGCGCTCCCGTTCCCAACGGGCGAGTGCATTCTCGACCCGCGCCTCGTCGGCGTCTCTTTCGCGGGGGATCCGGGCGAGCAGTAACTGCGCGCGGTCCGCCGCCGCCCGCGCTTCGGACATTCGGGCTTCGAGGGCGGCGAAATCTCCGGCCGCAGTCGGGGCGCCCAGCTGGTCAGTCCGGGCCCGCGCGACGTGCAACTCAGCCAGCGCAGCCTGCATTTCAGGCAACTGCTGCTCGACCGTGGAGACTCGGTTCTCAAGCGTTGGTACGCGCCCCTCCGAGTCGCCAAGACGTTGAGCGATAGATCTCAGCACTACGCAGCTCGCCGTGCAACTCGGCCGTGATTGTGGCGCTTTGGGGGTGTAGGGTGGCCGTAGTCACTTCAACCTGAGTACGAAGCGCATTGAGGTCGTCTCGGAGATGTTGATCCGTGGGCCCATGTACCTGCATAGCTGGAACCAGCCGCACTGTCAGGAGCTCCGTGCAGGGTCCCGACAGCAGCAGCGCCCGTGTCCCTAACGCTCGCGATTTGGGCCGCTACTGCGAATGGGTAGTCGTGGGGCGTCTGAAGTGCAGCGGAGTCGGAACCTCGGCGTGACTCAACGCGGTCGACTTGATGCCGGACCTGAGCAAGGACCGATCGATCTTCACCGATCCGAACGTCGACGAGGGCAAGGGCGTTCTGAAGCTCTTGCCTCGCTGTTGCTGTCTGCGCAGCAAGACCCGACAACTGTTGCGTCGCGCAAGTTTTAACCTGGTCTCTAAACTCGGCCAAATCGCTGGCAGAGGGCGACGCGCGCGGCGCGATGTTGCGCCGCAGCGAACTCGGCCGCGAGCGCCTCCGGGAGACTGGGGACGATGCCGCGGGGGGGCTCTTCGCTGCGAGGTTTGCCCAGTGCGATCTTCTATGACTCACGCGCGTTCTGAGACGGAAACCACGGTGGGCCCGATGAGACGCCGCGCGTCCCAGCGGCGGTGCCGCGCGGAAGCGCTCTGGGGAGACGCATCACTGGCGCCAGCGCCGCGGGTGTTTCCATCGGCGAAGCTTGGAGGAAGACGCGAAACGAATCCAGCGGTGGCTGCGGGGGCAACCGTGGGTGCTTCCACTGGCGAGGGTTCCGAACTAAAGGTGGCGCCAGGGGACATCATAGTCAACGGGGCAGCGCGTCCGAACCCAAGCGTGTGAGAAGGCGCCAACGCGGGAGGTGTGCCGGAGTCCATGTCTCCGACCGCAGCCTCGAGCGCGTCAACACTGCTATCGCATGAAAAGGGGGGGGCGTTATAGCCAGTCCTGTTGCCCTCTCCGCGGCGTCGTGACGCCCTCGCTCCGTCGAAGACCCAGCGCGCACACAGGCACTGGTCCCCGTTGGGTCCAGCGCCATGCGGCGGGGTCAAAAACGATGCGGGGTGTCGCAACGGAGAGCGAAAAAGAAGAGGCTGATAACCTGTGTACGTAGGTTGACGACCGAAGACTTGAACCTACTAGATTTTCCCAAGGTAGAGGAAGGCAAGGGAAAGGGTAACGCCCCCTTGTCCCATGCGCTGCGGACAAGCGGCGCTGTACAGAAAAAACAATACCAGAGCCGAGACGTCGGCAGTAGATCAGGATATAATGGTGATACGAGCGGACTTCATACACACCCTCTCCCTCCCCCTTCCCTCCTTCCTTCCCTCCGTGCCTCCCTCCGTCCCTCTTTCCCTCCATCCCTCCCTCCTCCTCCTCCTCCTCCTCCTCCTCCTCCTCCTCCTCCTCCTCCTCCCCCGTCTCCTCCGCCTCCTCTTCCTCCTCCACCAGTACGATGTCTTTTGAATGACTGCCCCCCGCAACAGCAGCGCATGTACTTATCCGTTTCTGCGTTGCTCCCCTTAATCCGTTTCCTCTGGCTATCCGTTTCACGGTCGTGGTGCGCCCTTTTCCTTACAACCGTAACTCTATGCGCACGCAGTTGCTCTGCAAGGTGTCTCTCTGCATGTTCACGAAGAGTGGCCAATCGTGCACTCTTCTGCCCACGCGTCCTTCTGGATGTTTGGTTCACCAGCGGTGTCGGACCCCGAGACGCGTCGGAAGGGCAGGCCGAGCGTTTCGCCCGACATTTTCTCGCCACTCGTGATCCGGAAGCTTGACATTTGCAACAGTTTCAAGAGTGGACGGCGGGTCGTTTTCAAGTATGTCTCTCGCCTTAGCGCCGCGCACATTCGTCTTAAAAGTTTGCAGCAGTTTCAAGAATGGAGGGCGGGTCGTTTTCAAATGCGGTTCTCTCTCTCTCTCTCTCCCCAGCGCCGCACACAGTCGTTCTAGAAGCTAGCAGAAGCTTCCAGGATCGAGGGCGGGTCGTTCTCAAATGTGGTTCTTGCCATAGCGCCGCGCGCATTCATCTGACAAGCTTGTCGCAGCTTCAAGAATAGAGAGTGACTCCTTTTCAAAATGTGGCCCGGGCTGAGCGCCGCGCACATCCGTTTAACAGTTTCACAACAGTTTCAAAGGTTCGTACGGATGAAGTCCAAAGATGGCGTTCTGGGACGATTCAGGAATGCCCGGACGGGCCAGGACGCAGTAGTCACATCGATTCGCGGTGTTAAAAACTCAGTGGTGGTGTTCTGGCACGATTTAGGGCTGTCAGGGCACAACAATCGCGTAAGTTCGCGGCGTTGAGCTCTCAAATACTTAGCACCAGTGAGGATTATCATCACGACAGTCGCGAGAGTTCGCGGCGTTGAACTTCCAAGATTTGTTTGTGGCACCGTTGAGGACTCTTGAAAGGCTGTCTTTCAATGGGACAACTCCCGCAGTCAATATATCCGCATATGTATGTATGTAGGTAAATGTATATGCATGTGTGTATGTACATGTATATGTGTCTATATGTAAAGTTGCATAAATGTATAAATGCATATTTGTATATAAATAGGTATGTGTACATGTTTATGTCGATGCATATGTATATGTATATGTATATGTATATGTATATGTATATGTATATGTATATGTATGTATATATAGATGTATATATATGTATATGTATATATATGTATGTATGTGCATTTGTATTTGTATTTGTATATGTTTATGTATATGTATATGTAGATGTAGATGTATTTGTATGTGTATATGTATATGGATATGGTTATGTATGTTTATATATATGTATTATATGTTAGTGTAAGTGTATATGTATATGTATGTGTATATATAGATGTATGTATATGTATATGTATATGTGTATGTACATGTATATGTATGTGTATGTGTATGTGTATGTGTATGTGTATGTGTATGTATATGTGTATATGTAAATGTATATGAATGTGTATATGTATATGTACATGTATATGTATATGGATATGTAAATGTATATGTATATGTATATGTATATGTAAATGTATATGTATGTGTCAATATACATGTTCTTTTTTGTTGTTTGAGCCCCCCCCCTCCTGGCCGATCCGCCTCCACAGCAGGCCACGGCCCCCTCAGCCGGTAGCCCTGCGACGACTGGAGGAACAGGTTTGGCAGGAAGTACATGGTACTTCAACCACAACGGAGTATACCTCTGGGACCTGCAGCTGGACGACGCCTGGGTCCGCGTACGAGTCAACTGTCATGAAGATCGCCACCGCCACGAAGAGGACCGACCCACCACGGTGAGGCACTCCGAAGCATAGAGGACTGCGCGGCCGCCCCCTGTTGCCAAGCACCAGGCAAAATGCCTCAAGGTGCTTTCACGTTGGGCCTGACAGCGCTCTGCCGCACGGCCTTACCCGTGCATCAGACGCAGGAATCACAATCCACCACACCTCATCAAGCCAGAGAGAGAGCGTTCAAACCGCTATTCCCCAAGATAGCAATCAAGAGCGCGAGGATCAGCAGAGCCCATGCGATACCAAACAGTGGCGCTCGAACGCGAAGATCGCGAGAAACACGAGGAACAGGTGTGTAGGCTCAGGGCGCCCCCGCAGATGAAGACGGTAGGCAGCGAACGGCGGGGAGGTCCTCGGACCCCTGCGCGGCCCGCTGGCCGCCACCAGCCACGGGAAGCCCACCGCGGAGAGGCCGAAGTCGCCGAGCAGCAAGCAACGGAGGCACCCTGGGCGCCCGCGTAGAACTCCTGGGCAGCGGCCTGGCCTCCACGCGCGCCTAAAAAACTCGCTGCTGAATTCACCCCTCGGTATGTCATCCCCTCAGTGAGTGCGCGGCCCTTCCAGACGCTCCTGTAGCATGGCCGACACCCTCCCGATGCCGATGCCTTGCGCGACCTTGTCGCGGTTGCCTTGGGCCGCTCCTTGCTGCGCTAGGAAGCGGCCCTGCTCCTGCAGGGAACTCTGGAGGTCTACGACAGACACCGTAGAACCCATGGCCAGCGCCCTGGCCACGACAAACCCGTCGAGGTAGGCCGCATCGAGCGCCGTGGGCTGTACCCTGTCCGCCCTCTGCTCGTCGACGGACTGCTGGACAGGGGAATCCCCAGCACTGGCAGGGACTTCGACGCCAGCATCGCTTTCGAGGCTCTAGGGAGCGGCGACGAGAGTTGCATCTTGAGGAAGCACTTGATGGGGCAGATGTCCCGCTTGAGGAAATACTTGAGCGGCTTGATGGGGTAGATGCCCCACGTGGCTCAAGTTGGGCGCCGCGGCTCGGAGCGCAGCCCTGAGCGCGCTCGCCTCTCCTTTCCCCCCCTCCGCGCGGCGGGCGCGCGGTCCTCTTCTTCGCTCCTCCCCCCCTCGGCATGTCATGCAGCTGCGCTGGCTCGGCGGCTGCCCCGCTGGCGTCGCGCATCGCCTCGGCGGAGTGGGCCCTGCTGCAGGGCGACGGGGCTCGCGCAGACGGCCCAGGGCGATGGCGCCGACGCGGGCCTGGCTTTCGGCGGCTCGGCTTGGAGGCCGAAAGCTTACCTGACCCCGGCGCCTCCGTCCACGCCGCCGCGCCGGCCGAAGGTTTGCCTGACCCCAGCGCCTCCGTCAAGACCGCCGCGCCGTGCGACAACTCCACAGCCGCTGCGATCCCCTGCTCGTGTACCTCGCCCGATCGCCTTGTCGAACGAGGAGATCACGCGTCTTCCGCTGCTCATCGCGGAGAAGAAGGCGCTCCTACGACAGGCCTTAAAGGAGCAGGCCAAGCAGCGCACCCCGACGATGGTGGTTGGCAGCTGGAAGAAGTGCAAGATTATGCCGACGCCGATTGCGTAGCTGGTGCACACAACGGCCGTGTCGGTGCCACCCTCGTCGGGATGGGAGACCCACATACGGTCGCAACTCCTCGAGAAGATCCAGGCGCTGAAGATGGAGCTGGGGATGACCTCGGACAAGCAGCCGCTGGCGCTAGCGGCGGTCACGTACCTGGACGATGTGGCGATCGGGGCCAGGAGGGCGTCGGCGCGGTGCTACAAGACGTTCTCGTTCGAAGACCCGCCTCGGCCAGTGACTTCGGCAGCGACGAGTATTGCTCCGTTACCTTCGCTGCGCCCAGTGGCGAAAGCGGCCTTGATCAAGCAGATGGTGTAGGCGGTGACAGAGCAGCTGACGCTCCAGCCAAACCCGACGTCCCAGACCGCCTCGGAGGATGAGCTGATGACGAACGCGATGGACGGCGGCACGGAGGAGGCGAAGGCGTCCCAGACCACCTCGGAGGACGAGCTGCTGAGCGAGACGCTCCAACCAAACACGACGTCCCAGACCTCCTCGGAGGACGAGCTGATGACGAACGCGATGGACGGTGGCACGGAGGAGGCGAAGGCGTTCCAGACCACCTCGGAGGACGAGTTGCTGAGCGAGTGCGACTGGAGCGCCTAGACAGCGACGACTCTTCGGAGGGCGTGCAGGAGGGGCAGGGCGACGATCTCCTCCACATGTGGTGGGACAACCAGATCTACCCCATCGGCATTCTTGACGTATTTCCTCAAGCGGGATATCTATCTCATCAGCACTCTCAAGTATTTCCTCAAGCGGGACATCTATCCCATCAAGTACTTCCTCAAGATGCAAGCCAATATACAGGTTCTTGCAAGGACATATGACGAGAGAACTTGTAGGATGTTTTTGCTTGCGACGTCTTTGATGCGTCTTGGGTTTGCAGTTATCCTCCTCCTCCTCCCTCCTCGTTCCTCTCTCCCTCCCTCCCTCCCTTCCTCCCGACCCTTCCTCCTCCTCCTCCTCCTCCCGCTCCTTCTCCTCCTGTGTCCTATGAGAATGCTGGTCGCTTGTAACCAACACCTGCCTCTCCGCAGGACAACCACCTCACGGTAAGGAGAAATCACTTCAACCCGGACCTCAACGACAAACAGCCTCCTCAGCCACCCAAATGATCGAATAAATGCAGTCTGGATGTCGAACCTGCTTGCCGGTGAAAAAAAAGGCTCCAGAACGGAGAACATAAACCCACCAAAAGGAGGCCGAATCTCCACTCAGAATGGATGAGATAAACGCCTCCAGAATGAAAGCCCCTGGGCCCCACTCTGAAGGCATCCGATCCTCCGGCCATTTCCCCTCGGGCGCTCCCCGCGCCGAGTCCCTGAGATCCGACGCTGCGACAAAAGTAGAGTAGAAGCATCGCCAGAAGACGCGACGGGAACTGCAACATCTCTGCGGCGCCCGTCGCGCAACGGATGGATCCGGAGTGGCCCCTCGGGGCCCGAGGCGGCGCCAAGACGTCCGGTGTAAAGAGCGGCAGCGCCTGGACCTCAGGAAGCGGCAACTTATGGGAGCCTCCCATACCATTTTGTCGGTTCCTGCGAATCGACGCTAAGCGACGCCAAATCGACGCTACTCGACGCTGAATCGAGGCTAAGCGACGCTAGCCGACGCTAAATCGGCGCTACCGCACCAACTCCCAGACGCTAATCGACGCTAGTCGACGCTCAAGACTGAATTAAGAGGGTATACCAGGTCCCACGATTTGCTTCCGAATGAACGGGCTGCGCGCGCGGGCATCCTCCTCCTGCTCCTGCTCCTGCTCCTGCTCCTGCTCCTGCTCCTGCTCCTGCTCCTCTTCCTCCTCTTCTTTCTCCTCCTCCTCCTCCTCCTTTTCCTCCTCTTCCTCTTCCTCTTCCTCCTCCTCGAGCGTGACCAGGTCCTCCTCCTCCTCCTCCTCCTCCTCCTCCTCCTCCTCCTCCTGCAAGGGGGAGGGGCGCCAGCACGTAGTTCCGCGCCGCCACCCACGGCCCCTGCCCGGCGCCCGCGGGCGCCCCGCTCCCCCGGGGAGCGCGCGCCGGGGGAGGGCCACCGCGGGCGAGGGCCCTGGCGGGAGCGTGGGCCTCATGCGAGGCGAAGCTGCAGTCGAGGATGTGCGGTGAGGATGCAAAGGGGCTTGGACGGCCAAGGTGACGATTTTCGTATGAGGTTGGCCAGCGAAAGTCGCCAGGGATGGGCCGAACGGGAGAGGAACGCAAGAATACACTTGGGAAGGTTGCCCATCCTCACTACGCGGGTTGACTGTGGAGGGTTCGCCCAAGATGAGGGCGTCCAGGAGGGGGGGGTGCGCCCAAGAGGAGGGCCCCGAGGCATGTGCGCGGGCCACGGGAGCATCGGTGGAAGCCTCTGGGGCAGAAAGGGGGCCAAGAGATCTGGGGAGGCATCATGGCCCTGGCCACGATGCCCACCCATCCCAGTCAACCCCCCCCCGCCCCTTTTGGACGCCCCCGAGAGGCCAGGACTGGGACAACATCGGACGGGGACCACAGATCGGGGATCTCTGAGATCCGGTGGGTTCTAGAGGACGTATCTGCGAGGCGGGGATTTATCCATATCCACCGCCTGGGAAGCGACACCCTGGTGCCCCAGCGGGCGGTGGATATGGATATATCTTGGCCCCCGGGGGGCCTGCCGAGGTCCCCGAAAATTGATCCTCCAGGCGGCCAGGCGGCGGTCACGTATACATTCCCGCCTCGGAGTATCGGGCGCCGCGGCCGTTCCAGAGCCTCGGAGCGTTCCAGAACGCGCTGGAGCGACGTCTCCCTGGCCTGGGCCCGATCAGCCGTGGCATTCGGAAGCTCACGGTGTTTTTTTTGGGTCGGAGGTCTTCTCGTGCGTCTTCCGGGGCTGGTCATCCTGAGGTTTCCATCAGGGGGGGGAGGAGGAGGAGGAGGAGGAGGAGGAGGAGGAGGAGGAGGAGGAGGAGGAGGAGGAGGAGGAGGAGGAGGAGGAGGAGGAGGAGGAGGAGGAGGAGGAGGAGGAGGAGGAGGAGGAGGAGGGGGAGGAGGAGAGGAGGAGGAGGAGGAGAGGAGGGAGGAGGAGGAGGAGAGGAGGAGGAGGAGGAGGGGAGGAGGAGGAGGAGGAGGAGCGAGGAGGAACAAGGGCTTTAAGGCTTTAACCTGAACCCATAGGAGAAAGAAAGAGAGAGGGGAGCTAGGAGGCACGACGACAACGCCAGCACGACGACCTAGCGACGACGGCCTGGAACCGGCGGCCTAGCACGACGACGGCGCCAGCGCGAGGACAGCGCTGCTGCACGAGGACGCACGAGGACAGCACTAGGACAGCACAGGCACGAGGACAGCACGAGGACAGCACGAGGACAGCACTAGCACGAGGACAGCACTTGCGCGAGGACAGCACTGGCACGAGGACAACACTAGCACGAGGAGGGGAAGGGCCGCCGAGGAGACGCGCCGAGGAGGAGAGGCGAGGCCAAGGAGTAGGAACGCCGAGGAGGAGCGCCGAGGAGGAGCGGCGGAAGCGGGTGGCGGAGGCGGCGGCCCGGAGCGGCGGCGGGGTGGCGCCGGCGGCGGCGGCGGGCCCCAGCCCGGGGCGGAAGGACTGAGGGCCCGGCCCGCGGCGGCGGGCGCGGTGCGCTCGCTCCGGGGCCCTCCTCGGACCCGAGGGCCCCGGGGCACGGAGGGGAGCTAGGAGGAAGGAGGCGGAGGAAGAGAACCAGAGGAGAGGCGGAGAAGGAATAAGAGGAGCGGAGAATGAGGGGGGGGGGGGGGAGACGTCGAGGCGACCAGAGGATCGAGGTCGAACCTCCACTCTGGAGGCTGCTCCCCGGCGGGAGGAGACGCCGAGGCAGAGGATCGCGCGACGACGGCAACTTGGGCTGTCGCCTTGCGGCCTGCCGGCCAAGGACGAGGCACTTGGAGAGCACGCGTTTTGTGTGCTTCTCTCCCTGTCACTATCACTCTCCCCAACTCCTTGGGCGAGGGCGACCCTCTCGGCCTCGGCGGCAATGTGGACAGCGACGACGGCGAAGAACACGTTTTTTTTGTTTTGTGTCTGCGCGCGTGCGTGCGTGCGTGTGTGGGTGTGGGTGTGGGTGTGGTGTGGGTGCGGGCGCGGGTGCGGGTGTGGGTGTGGGTGTGGGTGTGGGTGCGGGTGTGGGTGCGGGTGTGGGTGGGTGTGTGGTGGGTGGTGGTGTGGTGGTGGTTGGGTGGGTGGTTGGGTGGGTGGGTGGGTGGGTGGGTGGTGTGTGTGTGTGTGTGTGCGTCTGTGTCAGCGTCTGTGTCTGTGTCTGCGTCTGTGTCTGTTGACGCGGGGCCTATAAAGGCAAAAGGAGCCCACTGAGGGCCCAGGCCCGCGTGAAGGGCCCTGGCCCACAGGGGCCTTCCCAAGACAGGAGGAGGGCGCTTCGGCCCCGAGAGCCTCGACGACGTCGGAAAACTCCTGCCTCGAGGGCGCTGCGGCCCCGAGGCACAGCACGACGCGTCTGAAGCTCTACCCCCGTCTATAGGGCATCTCCCGCACCAAGGAACATACAGGAGGAAAATTGCGGTGCAAGCGGGCACAGACTGCAAAACGCACATACTCATGCAAATACAGAAGGCCACTCACTCACACACTCGACGCGCGATCGCATTCCGAGCAGGAGAACACTGACTGAGCAGCCAGCGGACGCATCTGCCAAGAACAGCCTCGCGCGTACTCAGAACCCTGAGAAGACCTCACTCGAAATCATCCTCGAAGTGGCTGTGCAAGCGGGCACAGACTGCAACAAGCACGCACACATGCAAATACAGAAGGCCACTCACTCACACCCTCAACGCGCGATCACATGCAGAGCAGGAGAACACTGACAATAAACCAGCGGACGCTTCTGCCAAGAACAGCCTCGCGCGCACTCTGAACACTGAGAAGACCTCGCTCGAACTCATATCCGAAGTGGCTGCTGCGCTCCAGCCGAGCGCACTGCTCGGCGAAGCTCGGCGAGCCCTGGGCTAGCCATGCGGCACGCTCGAGGTCGTACTCGGCAGCGCGCTCGCAGCCGTCGGAGAACTCGTCGATGAGGTACTGGCCGTGGTCGGGCCCGTAGTCCCTGAAGACCCCTGACACGGAGGAGACGTAGGAACTGCAATCGCCGCCCACGGAGCCTTCGACGTCCTCATCGCGCTCGACGCTACCGATTCCCCCTCGGAGGAGCGCAGCATAGTTATCTAGCAGGTAATGCGTGGCAACATCGTTGCGCTCGGCGGTGGCGGCAGAGAGGGTCGCGGAGCACACCGTGCTGTCCTGGCTCCCCTCGGCGCTCTCGCCCTCGCCGTGCCTGTTGTCGCCCTGCTCTCCGATTGGGCCTCCCAGATGCTCCAGCGGCGGCGGCGGCGCACCAGCGCCTGCAGCACCGCCCACCTGGGGCCTCTCGGCACGACACGGCACCTGGAGGGCAGCTGCGCCGTCTCCCTCCTGCACCACGTCTGCCTTCCAGGCCCCGTCACGGGGAGGGCCAGGCTCTGCCCTGTCCACGGGAGCCGGGGGCCCGCAGTCCAAAGCCGCGAGCACCTCCTCGGCGGTTTCCTCGCAGCTCAGCTGGCGGAAGGGCACGTACGGTGTGGCCCCGCTCCGCAGCGGCGTGCGCCTCGAACGGAAGGGCTGGGCGCATGACCGCAGGCTCGCCCTCGGCTCCGCTGGTCGCCCGAGCTTCACGGCGGGCTCGGCGACGCAGATCTCGACCTGTATCTCCAGCGGCGGCCGCGCCGCCCCTTCACGGCTGGCACCGCCGTGAGCAGCACCAGCAGGCCTGGGAGCTGCTCCCAGGCGGGGCCCGCGCTCGGCCTTGCGCCATGCGGCCGGCTCCGCTCCGGCCGGCGGGCAGGAAGCGGCGTGCCAGGCCACGTTGCGCCGCCGCCTGGCTGCTGGGGCCTCGGGTCTGCCGGCGACGCGGGCCGCCAGGACAGGCCTCGCGATCGCCTCACGCCGCAGCACCTCGGGGTCCCCCTCACTGTCGACCTTCGCCTCGAGCAGCTCGCGGAGCCTTGCGGCCTCGCCCCGGGCCTCTGCCAGCTCGCGCGTCAGCCGCTGCACAAGGCGGTCTGCAGCGAAGCGGGCACCAGCCACCCCGCGCAGACTCTCCCGCGCCATCTTGCCCGAGCGCGCCCAGGCACGGCTTGAGCCAAAATGGCTACGGATTGTGTCTGTGTCTGTGTCTGTGTCTGTGTCTGTGTCTGTGTCTGTGTCTGTGTCTGTGTCTGCGTGTGTCTGTGTCGATCTCTCTCTCTCTCTCTCCCTCTCCTTGGGCGAGGACGACCCTCTCGGCCTCGGCGGCAACATGGACTGCGACGACGGCCCCCTGACGGGCCTGGCGAGGCCGCATCACAGCAGCGCCAGCACCTCTGTCACCGCCACGCCTCTCTCGGCTCTCGGGCATCCAGGTGTCGGAAACAATTAAGCAACACACATGCAAAAACATGTGGTTTGAACTTCCCCCCCTCCCCCCAAAATGCAATAATGGTTTCGGATCTTCCGGTTTGGGACCTCCGAGTGGTCTTCAAGGAACGTGCCAACTTTGAATTGCGGGGGAGGGGGGGAGTGTTGCTTTATTTCTTCCCTCAACCGTCTCATCCACGGTGAGCGCGGCCACCTCTGGCCCCGCCACTGTGACCGACCAGCCGCCGAGGCGGCCAGACATGCTGAGGCGGCGAGGCCTACGGTCGACTCCCAGCGCGGGCTCTCCGCATCGGCGACCACCCATCCGCCCTCTCCCCCCTTTCCTTTCTCTCCCTCCCTCCTCTTACTTTCCCTATTCCTCCTCCTCCTCCTCCTCTTCCTCCTCCTCCTCCTCCCCCTCCCCCTCCCCCCTCCTCCTCCTCCTCCTCCTCCTCCTCCTCCTCCTCCTCCTCCTCCTCCTCCTCCTCTCCTCCTCCTCCTCCCTCCTCCTCCTCCCCCTTCCTCTTCCTCCTCCTCCTCCTCCTCCTCCTCCTCCTCCTCCTCCTCCTCCTCATCCTCCTCCTGCCCTGACCCCGCTGACCCGCCCCAGGATCCCCCACGGTCCCTCGAGACCGGCGGGGCGCCTCGTCCAGACATCTCACTGCTGCAGCCGCGAGGGACCCGAGCCGTGCGCCAGCGTCCACCAGATTGGCTCCCCTCGGGCGCCAGCGCCAGGTGGGGCTCGACCGCCCCGCCTCCGCCCAACGACGCCCACGCTTCGCTCCAGGCCGCCTGGGACGCCGCCCGCCAGGGCCGGCGTACAGCTGCAGCCTCCACTGCCGTGCCGATGGCCTCCGTGTCGGCTGCCATCAGCACCAACCAAGCGCGGCCGCAAGGCCGCGCGCTTCACCGCAGAATCTCCGTCCTGTTTCTTCCCTGGGTGGGGCCAATCGGCCCAGGGAGAGGTCCCTCACCGCTGTTCCCTAAATCGGCGCGGTCTACACCCCACGCGAACGCTCGCTGCACAATGAGGGCGCTATGGCGGTCTGCCGCGTCCCAGATATCTGTCGTGCGTCCCCCCGTCGGTCACACGCTGAGAACGCTGCGGGCTCCTGCTTCAATTGCTGCGCTCCCGGCTCATGGAGGGGCTGAGCCGTGCGCGGCGCTCGTAACCGCGGAGGTCGGACCCCGCGTGCGATGCCAGCCTGTCTGTCTGTCTCTCTCTCTCTCTCTCTCTTTCCCTCCGTCACTCATCTCGCTCGAGCTCTGTTGCGCTTGCCTGGCGGATGAGTTGCTCGTGAGCTCCGAATCCCGGGTCCTCCTCGGCAGCGCGCCCCCCCTCGGTCGCCTTGGGGGGCAAGAAGACCCGCCCCGGAGGCCCCGGGGGCCGCGAGTGCGTTCCGGGGGAGGAAAGGTTCCGAGGGCCGACGCCAGAGACCAGAAGGGCCAGGGGGGCGGTCAGAGGAACGGCGGGAGGAGGAGGAGGAGGAGGAGGAGCAGGAGGAGGAAGAGGAGGAGGAGGGGGGGGGAGGAGCAGGAGGAGGAGGAGGAGGAGGAGGAGGAGGAGGAGGGGGAGGACTGACCGACTGACTTACCGACTGACTGGCTGACTGACTGACTAACTGCCTGCCTGCCTGCGTGCCTGACTGACTGACTCACTGAATGACTGACGCGCCCCGACCCCCGAACTAGACTAAATTCATGTGAAATCGAAAAACTGGCGCGTCCGTTTTCGGGCACGAGCGTTGATCAGCGAGAAGATTTATACGACCAAAGCCCAGAGGATCCGAGGGTCACGGGTACCCAAAGGGTTGAATCTTGCGGTCATCCGTCTGGTCCCACATGTTGACACGCCCCCCCTTTACAGGAGGTGGCGGACGATGAGGAGGACAAGGAATCATCATCATCATCATCATCATCATCATCATCATCATCATCATCATCATCATCATCATCATCATCATCATCATCATCATGATCATGATCATCATCATCATCATCATCACATCAGCATCAGCATCATCATCATCATCATCATCATCATCATCATCATCATCATCATCATCATCAGCATCATCATCATCAACATCATCATCATATCATCATCATCATCATCATCATCATCATCATGATCCGGCGTGTGAGTTTCAAGGAGTCTCAGCTACAGCCTCGAGGCTGAGCCTCAGCCTCTGGGGGGGTTGCCGGGGTGGCTCTGCCGGGGAAGGGGGGATGGGGGGGGGGGGTGCGAGTTTCCGGCGGATGCGGGGCGCTGCTTTTACAGAAGGCTCTAATCTCGAGGATGCGCTGGAAGGGTGGCCGCGGCCGCAAAAGTCTCTGAGGACGGTCTACGAAAGTCCCGAGACCCCGAAGGATCGCCCGAACACGCCCAAGATGGCCCCAAGACGGCCCAAGAGCCTTCCACGACGTCTGAAGAGGCCTCCAAGAGGCCTCCCACGATGGCCCCCAGAGGCAAAAATCGTTGATTCCCATTGTTTTTTTCAATGTTTTTGGGGTTGTCGCTTTTTTCGGCTTTCCGACGCTCCAAGACGGCCCAAGAGGCCCCCAAGACCGCTCGAAGACGGCCCAGGAGGCCCCCAGACAGTCCCAAGACGGCCCAAGAGGGCCCCAAGGCGGCCCAAGAGCCGCCCAAGACGGCCCAACAGGCCCCCAAGACGGCCCCAAGAGGACCCAAAAGAGGGACGAAAAGCGGAAAAAATCTAGCCTTCCAGCCCACGAGGCCCCCAGGAGGCCCCAAGAGCCTCCAAGAGGGCCTCCGAAAGCCCCCAAGAAGCCCCCACGACGCCCTGACAGGCTCCTAAGATGGCTCAAAAAACGCCCCAAGAGGGCGTCCTTGCGCCGATAGGCTCGCCTCCACCGCTCGCACCACATCGTCCAGGCCACATGTTTCGTAACACGACTCCGTGCACGACGTATCGTGAGTTTCCAAAGTGATCGGCATCCTGTATGGAATTTTCATGTCATTATTATTTCCCGTCCCCACGGTCACTGCAAGCACCCCGCCGTTGATAGAACCACTGTTGCGAGATGGCTCTATTGACCCAACTGCATTCCTACGCCCTTTCGAAGGTAACCCGAGAAGTTTGTGCGTTTGAGTGTGCGCCCATAATGTCTGCGTCTGGAGAATAACACCGAGCGACCCGGATCAGCGGCACTGGCCGAAGGCCACTACAATCATTATCATCATCATTATCATCACTGGTACCATCATTATAATCATCAGTACTATCAGCATCATCATCACCACCGCCATCATCATCAGCATCAGCACCATCATCAACAACATCGTCATCATCAGCATCAACATCGTCATCGTCATCATCATTATCATCATCGCCATCATCGACACCATCGTTGCCATCATCATCATCATCATTACCATCATCACGCTCCTCATCCTCATCATCATCCTCATTATCATTATCCTCCTCCTCATCATCATCAGCATCACCATCCTCATCATATGCATCTTCATCATTAACAACATTTTCATACTCATCATCAGCATCATCATCACCACAATAATCATCATCATGATCATCATCATCATCATCGTTCTAAATGTGATCCCTATCATAAGCATCATCATCGCTATGATCATCATAATCATCACCATCATCAACTCCACCATCATCATCAGCATCAGCATCAGCATCATTATCGTCAACATCATCATGATCATCATGATCAGCATCGTCATCACCATCAGCATCACCATCACAAGCCTCATCCTCATCATCAGTATCAGCATCACGACCAACATCACCGTCAACCTGACCGTCGTCATCGCCATCATCATAATACTAACCATAAGAATAATGTAGCAAAACCATGATTATTATAAGCATCACCATAATCATCATCATAATCACAATCACACTTCCCATCATCAGCATCATCATCATCATCCTCATCGTCTTCATCTTCATCACCATCATCATCGCCAACGTCATCGTCATTGTGATCATCATCATCACCATCACCAGCGTCATCATCATCGTCATCACCAGCCCCAACAGCATCGTAATCATCACCACCGCCGTCGCCTCCATCACCATCTTCACCATCATAGTTATCAACGGCATCATCATCACCATCGTCATCGTCGCCGTTATCAGCATCATCATCGGCACCGTCATCTTCATAGTCATCATCATCACTAACATCATCGTCATCATCATCATCCTCGCCATCCTCAGCATCACCATCATCACCAATGTAACAATCATCATCAGCAGAAGCTTTCTCATCACCGTCGCCATCATCAATATCATCATCCGTGCCAGTATCGTCAACACTATCAGCATCATCAACATCATCAGCATCATCACCGCCACCTCAATCATCATCCTCATCATGATCCTTAGCATCAGCATCATCATTGTCATTATTATTTTATTCAGCGCCAAGATCGAAGTTAGCACCAACAGCATCCTCAGACTCCTCAACAACATCTTCCTCATCATCACCACGACCAGCATCACCATCAACATCACCATTATCATCGTCGTCATCGTCATCATTGTCATCGTCGTCGTCGTCGTCGTCATCAACATCATCATCATCATCACAATCACCATCATCATCATCAGCATCGTCACCGTCATCGTCATCGTGACAATCATCAGCATCACCAGCGTCATCACCATGGCCATCGCCATCCTCAACAGCATCATAATCGTCACCACCATACCATC